AGTGTTGCACTAGTCCTTCAAATCTACTACATTGTGAATGCAACATGTAGACGACAAATACCTAAGCCCGGCACCCGTATTCTGACAAAGCCATACTGACTACTCCAGTGGTACATTAGATCTACACACATGCTCTCAGTCTTGCTTCCTCTATGTCAAATGAAATAATTTCGCCTTTGTCCATGCACGTTACGTCGTACCCTACTAACCTGGCCTTTTCTACCAATACTTGGCGAGACAGTGGCCAAGTGGTCAATGCTAAGATAGTTCAGTTTTAACCACCCCTAAACTTTGTGAATGACTTGTGCGTTTTTCACATCTGACCACCCAAAAGGTCCCAGTGAATAATGTACCATTAAATTTCTCCCTTGCCACGTTAACGTGTAATTTCTTACTCCGGTTCAAAGGTGCAACGTTGTTATCATCAATATATATACCGTACATATTACAAGGACAACGACGAGTCAATAAAAACATAACATGTAAGGAATATATACCGTACATGTTGGAGACTTTGTTGAACTATTTTCTTATCAATAATATGGCCGTATGTTGATGCAGAGGCCAGGGGATGACCTCCTTTTCTAAGAAAAACATGTAAGGAATATGATTACTAAATTCTCTGGTAAAGTTCTTTTTTAAAACAGTTTGGATTCCTTACCACATGTGTCACGTGGTAAATTCTCTGGTCAAGTTAATGCCCGTGCTGCTATCTTATATAGGTCATTAACATTATGAGTTTTGTCATTTTTTTCAAGAAACGTGAGACAGCTGTTGAATATGAGCTCAAGTCCAGGGTAGCAATTTTGTAGCTTATAAAGATCTATTGGGCTTGTATCACCACACGAGATTGGCTATAGCCTAGAGCGCAACAGCTACTGGACCGGCCCAAAACTGTAGCTTAGCGCTAGTATTTTTTTTATCTGAGATTTTTACCGATGTTTCCACTGTTTTAGCATTGGTTTTCTTTCGGTTTTACTCTGGTTTTATTCATTTTTCCTATTTCCTTTCCCATTTAATTTTAGGGTCTTCTTCGGCTTTCTTTGTTTTATCTTTTCTTTCGACACATATCTAATTTTTTATCCACATTGTACATTTTTCTTGTAAAGAAGGAACATTGTTTCATATATGTTTAACATTTTTCAAATACATTATTAACACTTTCGAAATATATGTTTTGATGTAAAAAAATTTACACACATTTTACTTTCTTTATACAGCTAACACATTTTTATATGCGTTTAATCTTTTACAAATAAAAAAATAACATTCTTTTATATGTTTTGATGTTAATTGTTTTCGAAAAACATTGTGCATTTTCTGTGTATAACTAAGTTTTTATATGCTTTTAACATTTTTCAAAAACATGATTCACATTTTTTACAAATACATGTTCTGAATATGTGTTAAAAATATTTTTAATTACACGTAGATTTTTTTTAAAGACAGTAAACATTTTTATAAAGAAAATGAACTTTTCTTTATGTTCCCTAAACTTTTTTAAATGCCACAAACATATTTTTGAACGTGTGACCAGTTTTTTGAAGAGTATGAAACAGTTATTTAATTAGGTTGGCATTTTTTACATTGTATAATATTTTAATGTCTCACATAATTTTTTTAAATGCGTGAATATTTATGCTACGTCACATATTAACTAAATTATTTCAGATATTAACTATAATACGAGAATATAATTTATAGATACATCAAAATAGTCATGTACTCTATTAAGGTGTCTATTTTTTCCAAATTATGTACATATTTTCTTAAAAGATGTTCTCTGCATTGCTAATAATGTTTGTGTAATTGGAAGACATCCATGCATTTTATGAAAAAACACGACGAGATTTTCAAAAACATGATGAAATTTTTTATAATACATGGGAATCAATTTATATATACACGACAATCTATTAAAAAAAATTCACAATATTTTTTTAAATGTGATTAATTTTTCATGTAGAGTTTGAACATTCTTTAAATAGACAATGAACATTTTTTAAACGTGATGGACATTATTGAAATAAATGATGAACAAATTTCTATATAGTATGAGCATATTTTAAAACGTGATAAACAGATTTTAAATACAAGATGAGAAATTTTTAAATATACTATTATTTTTAATAAGACATGGTGATTTTTTTGTTAAAAACAATGTATATTTTATAATACACAGTGCTCATATTTCAGAAAATACACACTGATTTTTTATATACCTAGAATTTAGAAAAATAGACAATGAAAAATAATAAACATAAGAAAACAAAATTATTACGATAAAATGGAAAAGGAGGAACGATAAAATTTGACAACAAGAAGAAACAATGCAAAAATGCGTTCCATTTTAAAAATACATGTTGAGTAATTTATAAAATCGGGATGAACAGTTTTTAAGGAAATATTTTTTGTAAAAGTACGCGATGAGCATTTCTAAATACATTTTGAAAGTACATTAAGAACATTTTTAACATATGTAGTAAAAAAGAACTACCTCCATCCGGGATTAGAGGTCCGGCGAGCCATTGTACGCTGTATGGTTTTACAAGGCCGTGGCAGTTAGATTGATGAGTTTGTTCCTTCGATTCCCCCTGCAATTCATTGCTTTAATCATGATTGAGTTATTTTGAGTCTTTTAATTATGATTGGGTGCATGGAGTCATATACACTTGCTAGCCCATTGAGCATGCACGCAGTTACAGCGTGGGCTTCGTCCCTCTAGGTACCGCGCAGCCGATCATCGTGCCAAAGGGCGTTCTCCATCACCTTCAAAGCAGAGGGTGTGGCCATGAATTTGCTGCAATCGGCGCTATGGTTGCTGGAACCAGCCGCATCGTGCTACATGCGTTGACGATGACCAGTGGGATGCTGCAACTGAGGGTAATTTTGTTGGAATCAGTCGGTGGAGAAGCTGGAAGCGGCAGGGCGATAAGCTAGAAACAATTTCGACCAAACGACCGCCGAGAATCGTTTTGCTACAACTATTTTTTTTCTAAAACGGACATAAGTTTATGATGGGAATTGCAAGTGTTTTTGCTGAAACGACATTGGTTTTGCTGGAAACCACTCCAAAAAAATGCTACCACCGTTTTTTGTTTTGCTGGAACCCGCGCCCAAAATTGCTACCATCGGCTTTTGGGTTTGCTGGAAGGAACCACCAAAAATGCTTCCATCGGGTTTGGTTTTTGCTGGAAGCGCTCCAAACAATGCCACCACCAGCTTTTTGGCTGCCATGTGGTCGTCTGCCATTCCAAAACCGAGGGTCTGCGACATCTTTTGTTACAACCGTCATCGGCGCATTTGCTGCGACGACAATGGCCAGGCGTTTGCGACCAGCAAGGCAACTTCCTCCACGGTGACAGGAGATGGCGTGCGGCAACCGAGGGCGAGCGCGCGGTGGTTGAGGGGCGAACGTGGCGGCCATGTTTTCCTCTGTGATTTTTCGTACGGAAGGGATACGCGAGGAAGGAAAGGGACGTTGACTCAGATCCAACGGTACTTGGACATCGCATCTGATGGCTGGGGGCCGACCGGCGTGCTGGCGCCTAGCAGTCTCTGACTTTTATAGTGCACGGAAAAAGTTTATTTTTTCAATACATGACCTTTTCTTTTGGGTTGTAAGAATATTTTGTAGCAAGAGTTGAACAATACTGTAACCGTTTTGAGAACAATCTATCAAATATCGCCCTATCCAATCTCCAAAGGGGAGGGAAAGCCACGATGGCGCCTTCATGAAGGGTGTGGCTCTCAAGGGAGCTGTGACTGCCTTTGGTTAGACCACTCTTTCACCCATGCTTGAATTCACATCTAGATGTATGCTACAATAGAGCCACCGGATGCCAATCGTCGGTCATCGTGTAACCTCTGACCGTGGTGTAATAGCTAGTCTGCCACCGCTCTCACTATCTTGGTCCATTGTGAAGGCGAGGGAAGAGAGCATACCCATACCTTGCCGCCAGACATCTAGGCAAAGACACAGAGCGGCTCCTCGAGACAAATCTGACTCCACGTACTACCGTCCTGGCGCGAGCTTCCTGCTGACGCCGAGGCGACGACGAGCGCTAGTGGGGAAGGAGGATTAAGAGGAACCCTTCAATGTGCCGCTCCCCGTGTCGTCCAAGCGAGGAAACGCAGGGCGAAACTGCTTGCTACTTTCTTGCGACGAACGTTGATCGATTGGGATCATGGTTTTCTGTTTTAGTGATATTTGATTGAGATTAACTTAATTTCATTAATTTCAGTAGACATCAGATATTCCTTTCTACCGTAATCTTTCATTAATTTAAATAGTACAACCTTCGTTCCTAAATATAAGATGTTTTGACAGTTTGATTTAAACTACCAAAACATATTATATTTAGGAACATAGCGTATACAAAGGAATCTAATTTTTTTTAAAGTTTCAAATGTTTTATTAAATTTAAGTGTATGTTCATTTCGGTTGTTGCTCAAAGTGAAAGTGAGACCATGTTTGGATCAAGTAAATGAGAACCCGGACCCCAAAAATATAGACCTCAAATTTGCAATAAAAGCTAGCAGCAACTGCCCAGCATGATTGTTTCGATGCAAGAACGCATCCATTTCTTTTTTGAGGGGAAAGAACGCATCCATTTCAGCATGTCATGTTGGTGGCTCACACGGCCTGGAATGGACAGGCACTTAATCCAGACACGGCACGCCCATGAAAAGAGGAGAACCAGAGAAAGGAAGCAAACACCAGAGGGCCATTACTTCCAAAATTAAACAGTGCTTTTAGATAGATTGGTTTTGTGCGGTCTGGAGCCCATGCATCTCCTATCTTTGCTCCCAAGCCCACCATGCCCCGCGCCCTTTTAAAGCGTCGCCCATCGCGGTCTCCATCTCGTTCTCGAGACGCCACGCTGGTTCCTCTTAAAGAGCCCATTCACGTCGCTCGCCGACCAACCGGAGGAGACGCGCCCGAATAAGAAGAAGACCGCGCGTCCCCATTGCTCGGCCGATCACCGGCGCCGATCGCCATGTCTTTCACCGGCACGCAGGACAAGTGCAAGACGTGCGACAAGACCGTCCATTTCATCGACCTCCTCACCGCCGACGGCGTCTCCTACCACAAGACATGCTTCAAGTGCAGCCACTGCAAGGGGACCCTCTCGGTATGCATTGCGGCCCCGGCCTCAGCTAATGCTTTTCACCTTGAACTCAACGGCAATATGTTTCGCTTTTGTGTCCTATTATTATATATATGTGTATACGTTTGTGCAAAATGGGAATATTGGCAACATGGCTTGCGTTTCATTTTCTGCATGGCCTCTAGATGTGCAACTACTCTTCCATGGATGGTGTTCTCTACTGCAAGACCCATTTCGAACAGCTCTTCAAGGAGACGGGGAACTTCTCAAAGAATTTTACGCCAGGTAATGCGAAACCGCAGTCCTAGCATACTGCTGACCAACAGATATTCTGACCTTTTGTTCCGTTACTCAGGTGGCAAATCCGCAGAGAAGAGCGAGGTACAGTTCCAGTGTGCAAACGTCGCATCTTCCCTTCTCAGAGATTATTCACCGATTCCCGTCACATGTGTCAATGGGTAAACTATTTACATAGCGAATTCAAAATCAACTGCAGGCAAAGGCTCCAAGCAAGATGTCATCTGCCTTCTCTGGAACTCAAGATAAATGCGCGGCCTGCCAAAAGACCGTGTACCCATTGGAGAAGGTAAGAGGGATGATGTAATGTTACTTCGATAGTGGAGCAAGAGGCAGACATCGATTGAGTTGCCAAATATACATGCAAGATCACGAAAATAATTTGGCACGCGAATAATAACAACATTGCAAATCTTTACGTTTCGGTTCAGCTAACTTTGGAGGGCGAATGCTACCACAAGAGCTGCTTCAAGTGCTCGCATGGTGGCTGCATCCTGACGACCTCCTCGTATGCCGCTCTCAACGGAATCCTCTACTGCAAGATCCATTTCTCACAGCTGTTCAAGGAGAAGGGAAGCTACAACCATCTCATCAAGACCGCGCAAACAAAGAAGGAGAATGTGGAGGCTGCGGCTGCGGCAGAGGCAGGGGCGGAGGCAGCAGCTGCTGCTGCTGCAGCAGCAGCAGAGCCGGAAGCACCACCGCAAGATGAAGAATAGAGCAAAGATTAGGAGCAAACCAAAGGAAACAACAGAACCAAATATTATATATAAAAAAAGGCTCCGCAATTTACAGATAGTAATTTGCAATACTTCCTTCCCTGCTTCCATTTTTGTATGGCCTCTCAAAGCTTGCTTTTGTTCAAGCTGGAATTGTATCATTTCTCGAAAACTTGTCACCTGGACATGAAACTATTGGTTTGCACAGCCAAAAATATTACTTTGTGTTACACGAATACTTTCTTTGAATTTTTTGAACATAAGGGACAAAGACATTTCTTTTGAGGCCTCGTTGATTCAAATGATTTGTAAAGAAAATTTGGAGGATTCCAGGGTTTCTAGCCTACATCTGGCATTCCAAAAAATCATGAACATAACATCCCTTTCATGTACGATGTTTTGACATACTTGTGTTTTTTCTTGTAACTCCCGTATATTGCATTTCGGTATTTCTTTATGACACCTGATATGTATCTCCGGACGAAACCTTTCTTTGTATACCCCTATTTGTTCAATGTTGTGCATCATTTTATGGCCTCCATTCATGTATACATGGAACAAGAAGATTTGTTGGATTTTTAGCCCAATCTCTATTTTCTACAGTTAAATCTCGGGGCGAGATTCAATTTGAGGGGGTCGATTGTAACAGCCAAAGAGCAACATATTTATTAGGAATTGATTGTGCATCATGACCATCTCATAAGCATCATTTTCATTCATTTTAATATGAAAATATGGATTTTTTTAGAGAAAAGGCATGAAGGCCCAACTTCAAATTAATGAAGCCATCAACCGGCTAGGATACAATGGTGCTGAATTACAAAGGCAAAGACTTGACCAAAAACTGAAAAATACATGCCAAATTCACTACGACCCGGAGCAGCAGCGAACAGAGCATCAAGAGAAACTGCGATCAAGCCGCCGGAGATCTTGAGCACACAGAACAGCAGGGCCGAAGCCACTCTGCGCTGACAATTGCCGTGGACATGAAGGCCCAGACCGCTTGAAGGAAACCATCGATTCCGCCGCCCACTGCCGGAGGGGAGACCACTATCTCCCCTTCGTCCAGACCGTGCTGGACGCCCACCACCGGCCGACAGCCAACCAGCAGACAAGGCGGGGAGCCACTGAAAGATGCGGAAGAACCCAAACGCCACCAACAACGCCATCAACCAGGGGATCCGAGCACAGCTGCCGCCACCCACCACCAAGCCGCACGCCTAACCTCCAACCACCCCTTGAACGGCGCCTCTAGGGAGGACTGAGACGCCAAAACGCCTCCGCCGTCCGGCCAAAAGGCCAAGACTTTCGCCCGGAGCAGGAAGGGGGCGAGGGGGACGGATCTGGAAGCCCGACCCGCCCTTAAGAGGGGAACGGCACCAGAGCACCGCCGGCGTCGAGGTCGACGTGAAATCGACCAGGGGTTTCCCCCGTTCCAACACTCCACCACCCCATCCTCGGCCAGATCTGACGGGCCAGCCACCAAATCGGGAGAGGAGGCCACTGCGAGGGGAAGGGGCCGAGAGGAAGAAGAGCCGCCCGCCGCTGCAGCAAGACCTCGCCGCTCTCATGCCACCCACGCGGCCGGAAGGGACGACCAACACCCGCGCGCGCCATCCACCGGAAAGATCGGCGCTGCCATCTCCCAGTAGAGGATTCCGCCCTGGCTTCCAGAGCCCCTCACAGCGGCGTGAGGCAGCAGATCCTCGCTGCCACCTTCACCGGAAGACGCGTAGCAGCCGGTGGGATTCTCGGGTGGCGGCGGGGCGGGGGGAGGAGGGAGGAGAGGTGACGACGGCTAGGGTTTGGGGTCGCTCCCGAGTCGCCCGCGAGGGGCGACGCGAGAGCCGGGAGGGGGGAGGAGGGTCTAGTGCCACCGATAGCCTCTCTTTCTTTGTGTTTGAAAATATGGATTAATTCAACCCTCATCTTTTTCTTAAAGTTCTAGAACCCTAAATTTGTCGATTGTCCAACATACCCTTTCAAACAAGGGTTTGCTATTTCACACCTAGATGTGAAATAGCTATCTCATATCTAAATTTATAACCGTTTGATCTTGTTTGCCTTTTAAGATTCGTACAGCTTGTTCGGCTCGTATGCGCCCTCGCTCGTGTCGCGTTTGTCACGCGTGGCGGCCCGTGTTAGTTCCATAAGAGGTGGGGCGGCCCGTATACTGTGTCGCTCGTGGCCTCTTGTTGTTGTCTATTTTTTTTTGAGGATCGCCTCTTGTTGTTGTTGCTGTGTGGGTTTCGTTAACCGTCAAAAAAAGAAGTGCGTACACCTGCCTGCCCGTTGTACGGTTGTAGGCTTTTTTGTTTCTTATATGGGTCCCCCGTTTTTGTGCTTTGTGGGCTTTCAACCAGGAGAAAGCGTACATTGTTTTTTTTTTGGGGAGAGGAAAGTGTGTCAGTCGTTGTGTGTCCTTTGTAAGAGCTTCCTGCCAGTTGTTTGGTTTTTGTCACCCTGGAACGTATGTGTATGAATGAGCTGACCAATGAAGTACCGGTTTTGGGAGAAGCTTCCAACCATTGTTTTTTTTGGTTCATTTTTATTTTTTTATTTTTTTGTCCTCTTTATATTTTTTAATGTTCATGATTTTTGTTGGTTCCAGTTGCAAGTTAATCATCAACTCGTAACTAGACACACCCTTGTTTTATTTCAGTTTGCTGGACAATCTTTGATCGTTTTTAGTTGTAGCTGCAAGTCAACAATCGACTTGCAACTGGGTCTGGCTTTTTTTTCGTTCCAGTTGCAAGTCCATCATTGACATGCAACTAGGTCCTTAATTTTTTGTTTTGTAGTTATAAGTTCACTCATGACTCGCAACTGGCCGTGAGATTTTTTTGACCCAATTGCAAGTCCACCATTGACTTGCAACTGGGTTCAACCATATTTTTATCCAGTCGCAAATACACTATCGACTCACAACTAGGACCATAATTTTCTTTTCCAGTTGAAAGTCCACCATTGAGATGCAAGCGGGCATTTTATTTGATAAACATTTCTATTTGTTGAACCATTTGTGAATACGCGCCTTTGCTGCTTGTCCAGCACCATCTCTCAACTAGGGCTTGACTTTTTTGGTTCCCGTTGCAAGGCAACCATCGACTTGTAACTAGGCCCCTTGATCTTTTATTTGGTTGCAGATGCAAGTCAATCATTGACTCGCAACTAGGCCCAACCTTCTTTTTGTCCCAGATGCAAGTCCACCATTGACAGGCATCTCGGTTCTTAATCTTGTTTGCCCAATTGCAAGTCCACTCATGACTCGCAATTGGACCCAATATTTTTCACCCAATTGCAAGTCCACCATCCACCTGCAACTCGGTTCGATCTTTCTTTTCTCTAGTTGCAAATTATCGACTCGCAACTGGGCCGGCAATTTTCTTTTTCAATAACAACTCCATCATTGACATGCAAGTGGGCACTTGATCATTTTTTATTGATAAACAGAATTTGAATACGCACCTCGGTTGCAAGTCCATCACTGACTCGCAACTAGCGGTTGACTTTTTTGTTTTAGTTTCAAGTCAATCATCGACTCGCAACTGGGTACGCCCTTGTTTTGTCCCAGTTGCAAGACAACCATCGATTAACAACTGGGTCCGTTTATCTTCTTTTGTTGCAGTTGCAAGTCAACCATGACTCGCAACTAGGCCTGATCCTTTTCTATATCTAAGTTGCAACTCCATCATTGACACGCAATTGGATACTTTTTTTTTGCCCGAGTTGCAAGTCCACCCATGACTCGCAATTGGACCCAATATTTTTATTTCATATAGCTTGTCAGAAACATTACACTCTAGGTGTCAGTTTAATTCAATTTGTGTCGAATTACCTGTTTTTATTTTCATATAGCTTGTCAAAAAAAATTACATCCAATTGCCAGGATTATTTGTTATGCTTGCCTGCCTGGTTAATTTGTTATAAGTTAGCATGAAGCTTGATAAAAAAATGTGTACTGACCATTTGCATCGGTCAGAGTAGCATGAAAAAGTAACTTTGTCATTGTCTTGTAGCGAACACATGGCCAGTGTGCTTGTTCGAAAGAAAAAATAATGTAGAAGTTTAACTCTACTTTATAGCAAAAACAAAGGATATGTATTGTAGCACAGCGCAGCATCAGCATGCATGCTACTGTAGCGTTCTGTATCGTTGGCACTGCGTTCTAGTGTAGTTCGATTGCGACGCACCCAAGTAACAGCGTGCACACGCCCACCGCACGGAATGGTCGCTCTGCGACGTACACTACTTAGATTTTTTTGACCAAACAAACAAACAGTGTTGATATCATACTTAGATGTGAGATATTATCTCACATCTAGATGAGATATAGTCTTGCCATGGCCTCAAGTTCATCATGTGGGCCCACTAAAATTTAAGGATTAAAAAGATTTGATTTTGATTTTGGATTAAACTAATTAAAATGAAAATTGATAATACATATAGATTTTTTACCTATTTAACTTGAGGATTTTAGATGGTGAAATCTCTTGAAAGCCTATATTTAGCCTTCCAATATTTTTAGGAACCTACAGTAATTATTCCATAAAATTTTCAGGAATATATAACACACTTAAAGTTTAACTCCAAATACAAATTTATAAGGATTTATATACATATAAAATATAAACACATTCCAGAATTATAACCTTTTATGTGGCTTGGAAATAGCTAGAGGCTTCACCTAAATTTTTCATGATTTTTGATACCCCCTGTTAATTTAAAACGCAGCAACTAATTATGAGAACCATGCTACCTCGAGGGCGGAAGGCTGTGTGAGGCGACGAAGCCATGGAGGGCTCCGGCAAACTGCTGCTAGTGAGAGAGAACAACGCAAGTAAGATCTTCTCCTCAACACCTCGCGCTGGGAGGCATCCGAGATGACAAGTGCGCGGCCAGCCCAAATCTCGGCCGGCCGGCCAGCGCCTAGTATTGGACTTCCAGTTTTAGAATTCTCCAAAGTCAAATTTATTTAAGTTTGACAAACTTTATGGAAA